TTAATATAGGGTATTAATTCATATGGTTTTCATTTATTGCTGCGGGCCTGAATTCCTTCGCAAGAACAAGAGAGATTCATCTTTGACTTTTTTGTTCTCCTGTGACAGGTTCCAGTACCGATTGCCATAATAGCAACGGGGGATTTTGACTCGAGTGAAATTGATTCTATGCTGAGAGACGTATGACGTAATTTTATATATTTATATTTCGGGAGTTCGTGACTGCTGGAAAGGTAATAAAAGTATCCTCAGCTACTTAAAATGATAAATGTATTGTTTTTTTTAACTCTCGGTTTGTTTACTAGATGCCAATTATTTAAACGAATGTGTCTTCTGACACATTATCTATCTGTGGGAAAGCACAGCTGACAGAAAGCTAGAGAGATATCTTATAGCTCTCTGGAACAGGATGCTACAGGCTGTTGTTAGGCATTTGTTATGCATATGTAACATGAACACCTTATGAATACACACGCTATCGTCTATTCATTGAAGCGGAGTTCTTCTTGAGAAACTAATAGTCACGTAGCTAGTCAAGAAATACCTCTCCTTTTATGGCACCCAAATGTTCATTACCATATTTACAGGAGCCCCTCACTCGCCTTTGTCCAAAGCTAAATGGGTCCAGTCCACACCCCCAAATTTGGCGTTTTAAAACCTTCGGATTTTAATCTGACGCAATCTGAATCTAATTAATGTCTTGACTGGATGGTGTAGGGTCCTTCTTGAGAAGCTGATAGTCACTTAGTTGGTTAGTAAATTTTCTGTCTTTTACGGAACCATATGGTGTATTGCTTCATAAGAATCCGACGCTGTACTCTGTCTTGAACTAGCTGAATCCACTCCGCACTCCCTCACCCAATACTTTGATCCGTTTTAATAGTATCTTCCCGAGCTCCTCCTGCCACGAAGTTCACTGGCCTGTCAAGTTTAATTCCTGAATATACTGATAATTATTTTCCGGTCTAGAAAACCGAGATAACGGCCGTTGGGATCCGTTGCGCTGACCACGCGGCACCCTCTATCCGCTAAATTTGGCACTAACTTCGCCGACAAGCGGCGGTCGCTCGGTTGGTATATTTCGCTTGCGGACTATAGGCCACGAAGTTCCTTTTTTGTTACCAAATAAATAACACGTTTTCGTAAGTCGCTGGTTGAGAGATTTTAAAACTATAATACAGTGAGAAGGTAACGGTGGTCCGATTGAATGTTTCATCTCCGACCTTCTTCACAGATTTCGATTAAATTTGGTATTAGAGTACACACCGAAACCTGAAGGCAAAATTAGATTTGATCCGTAAAATTCCATGAAATTTAAACAATACTTTGTCTATTTCTAAGGAACTGTTTAATACTCAAGTTATAATACGTAATATAATATGTCTCCACGAGATCTGAGGTTCTTATGCCCGGTGAATATGAATATGTGGCGCCATATAGTCTGGTAGATAGTTACCAACATTTTGGGGGTACATTCAGTCTCCACTTTAAGCCCACCGTGAAATCAATGTGTTCCCATTTTTTAAAAGTAAGGAGGTAGTAACTATTTCCTTGTAAGATTTGAGGCTTTCACGGCGGTGACTATGAAGAAAGCAGTCTTCTGGGATTTGGCACCGTGTATATGTGGTGTTAACCGACGTTTCGGAGGAACGTATCGCCCCCATCTTCAGGGTAGAAGAAAAAGTATAAGAAATCTGCAAGCGACAACACCGTGAGAAACGGTACGGTGTTGTCGCTTGCAGAATTCTTATACTTTTTCTTCTACCCTGAAGATGGGGGCGATACGTTCCTCCGAAACGTCGGTTAACACCACATATACACGGTGCCAAATCCCAGAAGACTGCTTTCTTCAACTATTTTCTTATACATATGGATTATAAAATTTATGTTAAATAATGCAGAAAATAAACAAAGAATAGCTTACAGCTTAATAAATAAAGTAAGCTTAACAAATAAGTGGTCACTGAGGAAGCACCCAAGACAAATGAAAGCGAGGAAGTATTAGTCACAGCATTTAGAGCAAATTAAGTGAGCGCTATATTCGGGTACCGATGTCGGAACTCACACGTATGTCTGTAGTATAAGATTATTAGTTTATGAGACTGTTATTTTCGTATATTCTCCGCACAGAGTGCAAAACACGCTGTCTTATAGCTTCTCTGTAAGAAATCGCATTGTTACACACATTTGTGGGGCACGTGGTTGCGTAGTTCGTTGAGACACTATGCTACAAGAAGGAGAGTCGCGGAATCGAATACCGAAGAGGTGGATTTTTTCAATTTACCTAATCCTTCCAGTCGCACTATGACCCTGGGCTCGACTCAGAAATGAGTACCAGGAATATTCTTTGGGGTAAAGGGAGGCCGGCGCGTAAGGCTGACAACCTTACCGCCATCTGTGAGCCGATTGTCGAGAAAATGTGTGAACCTCAACATCTCACAACCCTATGGGCCTCCACGGCCTGTTACAGGGATATCTTCCTTTTTACTTACTTTTACACACATTTATGGGCGTAATATTATAAAACGTAAGTAAAAAAGAAATGGCAACATTCTATGATGTGCGCATCAAATTCCTTTATGTAAAACTCGTACAAAAGGCGAAGTTAAAAAGTAATTATCCTGCAGCAAGTTCGTAACAATACAAACTCACATGCAGATCCGCCAGACGGCAATCCTTAAGCAAGCCATTCAGAAACAAGTCAGAAAATTAGAGAGCTGATGGTTACGCGTTTCCCTCTGCTTGCCGCAAGACACACAAACACACACAGAGAAGCAGGCCATACCTCACCGTCTCAATAGCAGTTCGCCCCACGAATGACTGAGGTCACAGCTACTCCATTGATGGGATGTCCATACAAAAGGCCGACACACCGCCCTTCAAAACCTGTGGATTCGGCTTCACTTGCTGTTAATTGAAATCGGAGGTATTAAGTAACTCTGACGATGTTCGTAATATCAAAAGTTACAGCCTCGAATGAAGCTCTCTGACCCTCAAAACTTCCCCTATTTTTTTGTTGCTAGTGGGGTGGGACTAAGTCCCTTGTACTGCGGCCACTTCTGGCCTATTATACCAGCCCCAGATGATAGGTGAAGGTGATTGTGGAGCAATTGGTGGAATGAAGATTGACAGGGGAAACCGAAGTATTCTGAGAAAACCTGCCCCAGCACCACTTTGTCCACCACAAATCCCACTTGCCCAGACGCGGGATCGACCCCGGGCCGCCGCGGTGGGAAGCCAGCGACTAACCGCTTGAGCTGTGGCGCGGCCTAATCGTCCCCTAAGTATTATACTGGTTTCTTATTTACATTCATGTCTCTCTGGTACAACTGCAGTATGAGGTTTTTAATTTATAACGAATACTGGCCAGTACCGAGGTCAAAAAACATGGATCTATACATCCACTCCCCCCATACGCCTTCATGGAGTTGTACTTAATTAGTTAAGCACAATGCCAACTTTACTTTACCTTATTAATACTGTACATGTAGTAACTGAAATGTAGCGTTTCTTCCATGCTCGGTATGAGGGGCACATTAAAGCGAATAGCATAAGTTGATTAAAGATATTTAGATCTATATCAATAGGTAACACTGTTTTTTGCTAATGGCTGACATCGTGCTTGCCATCTTTAGGTACGCTCAAATCATTGTGGAGTGATTATTGAAATCGCCCCATATGTCCGTCCGTCCATCCGTCTATGAGTGGAACCATGGAACGGATTTTTCATGAAATCTGTTACTTGGAATTTCTACTAAAATCCGTCCACAGATTAAAATCTTTATCAAAAACACACACTTTACATGAAAACCCACAAGGTTTTCTGCACGCAGTTCAGTATAAGTTGCCAAATATTTGTCGGTCCGAAATTATTGTTTTCGTGGATTATTTAACGGCCCTTTCAGTATTGAGACTACACAGCGTCGGATGATAACATGAAAGATGAATTGGAAAATATTTGGCCTAATTTGCTGTAATATCCAAGTATGGTTATTGCATAAGAATTGCATAACTTTCTTACGCTTTTAGTACCTTTCGAAAGACGAGGCAATGTGAATATACTGTGGAAATCTGTCAAATTTAACCAAATTTGGTTTAAGCTACTCTTGCATAGCACCAAATATTGAGATAAGACGTGAGTGTACAAGAGAAAATTTGCTGGACTCTCTCCTTGAGAGAAATAAAGAGAGGAACAAATCCTGGCTAACATTTTACTTGGTTTTACTCAGTCCCTTTAGGTAAAATCCTGGATAGCAGGTCATTCAGGCCACTGCCGCTTCCTTTCACGTTATTTCAAATTAATTATTCACTATCTTCCAATCACTGGATGCTGAGTCAATTACAGCGTCGTTAAATATGCTACAGAAAAACAAAGAAAAATCACAGGACGTGAGAGGCACAAAATGGGGAATCCCCGACCGTCGCCTTCTCTACCATCCGCGAGACTTCCTTCTGCGCCCTCAGTAGAGTACGTCGAAGCAAAGTCAACTTTTGCTGTACGTATTCCCTGTATACCGTAATGACGGAACTAAATTACAAACTTTGTTTTTTATTAGAACATTTTGGATAGCTCAGTCGTTATAGCGACGGGCCACGGGCTGCATGGAGTTCCTGCCGGGGGAAAATATTTTCTCTATAACATCAAGAACGCTTTGGGGTCAAATCAACCTCCTATCCAATGGGTACCTGAAGTGAGTTCCTCAAGGGTAAGGTGGCCGGGGCATGAAGCTGGCTACTCGCCTCCATATAGTACCGAGGCCAAAGCTGGTGGAGTTACACCTTCTCTCCCCCATATGCCTTCATGGCATAGTGCTTAATTAATTAAGCACAGGAACAGCTTTACCTCTACCTTACATTATTAGACGGGCATCTTCCTGCAGGGACCTGGGAAATCAAAGATAAACCTCAGAACCGTCAGTTGTCCTCAGCAACCAGAGCCACGTGCAGGCCGGATGTGCGATATCTCGTTCTGCATATTTACGGTCGATTGCTTATTTCAGATTGTAGACAAGTTGTTTCGGCTGGTGGATCAGGATCTAGACGGGATGGTTACGCCTGGTCAAGCCATGGAGTTCCTAGCTAATCTCAGCAATGCTCGGTAAGTATCCATTAGAACAGGAAGTACGTAGAAAAATCACAATTGTCAGATGTTTCCATTTCCTGTAATATACTTCATATTGTGGGCTTATGGGTTAAGACGCCTTGTTGTCTGGTAGGTAATTTCCGGCGTTTCACATGAAAACGCTACCTTCATTAAGGTAGAATTTTCTATTAACTACAGGTAAGAAGTTAACTAGCCGGTCACGATAGCCGAGCGGTCTAAGGCGTGCACTGTCTTCGCTCGCTCGGAAGCCGAGATCGTGGGTTCGAATCCCACTCAGGGCATGAATGTTTGTGTGCGTTTTCCTGTGTTTGTGTACAGGTAGAGGCCTTGCGACGAGCTGATCACCCGCCCTAGGAGTCCTACCATATGTCTAAGATCTAGAAAAACCGAAGTGAACGGAGAAGTTCGTGGAGGTAGGCCTAGACCCACTGCGGCTGTAGTGCCAAGGGGGGGGGGGAAGTTAACCAGACTACACTGTGTGAGAATTCGGGAGACTTCATCCTTCATCTTCGCGAAAACTTCAAATTTCTCTGTAGCCTATGCATTTTTCAAGTTTCTTGATTTCCGTTTATACTTTTTCTTACAACGCGTTCCAGTCTCATTTTCTGTCTGTTTCTTTTTAATGCCAACCACTTTACGCCAAATGAAGATCTTCAACTCAGTCCATTATTGGAACAGCCGGATAAGTGATCGACCCACTGCAACCTGCGAACGGATAGCCATTTTAAATGGTTTAGTAGCCTGTACTTCAGTAATGTAGGGAAGGGATGGAGGGATTCCCGGTGCCTTGTGTTGCGATACGGAAAGAATTTCTCTGGAAATGCCTCGTGATCTCATCCATTGGAGAACACTCCAATACATATAGCCAGTATACTCTATTAGAACAGTAATTCACTCACTTTTAAATTTATTGTACGGGCAAACTGGCTCATGATCTACGCTAAGAATTCAAAACAGTAGACGACCGAGGAGTCGGGGTTCGATTCCCTGGAGGGGCAAGATATTTTTCTCTTTTCCATAACTTCAAGATCGGCTCTGGGATCCACCTAACCCCCCTTACAATGGGTACCCGAGGCTCTTTCCCCGGGGGTAAAGCGATAGGAGCGTAAGGCTGACCACTCACCTCCATCTAGTGTCGAGGTTAAGAATGGTGGAGCTATACCTCCACTCCCCCATATGTCCTCATGGTGTGATAATTAATCAAGTCCAGGCATAACTTTGCCTTTACCTCATTGTTTTATTACTCTCAGTATCTGATATGGTGTCATTAGATAACTACTTATAAAGCAGCAGCTATAAAGCTTGCATGAAAATTTTATGGCAGAAAGGAAGTGGCTAATGAGAATAGATTCGGCTGGTGCTGTGCTGCTAAATTCCGACACGAGGAAAGACTCTCAGAAAATGACATTTCTCCCCCCTTGGCCCTACAGCCCCAATTTGGGCCTTGGCCTACCTCCATGAAACTCTGCGTTTCACTTCGGTTTACCGGATCTAAGACATTCGGTAGGACTCGTTATGCGGGTGATCAGACCTCTAGTGGGGTGGGACTAAGTCCCTTGTACTGCGGCCACTCCTGGCCTATTGTACCAGCCCCAGATGACAGGTGAGGATGATTGTGGAGCAATTGGTGGAATGGAAGATTGGCAGGGGAAACCGAAGCACTCGGAGAAAACCTGCCCCAGCGCCACTTTGTCCACCACAAATCCCACTTGACCAGACCCGGGATCGAACCCGGGCCGCCGCAGTGGGAAGCCCGCAACTAACCGCTTGAGCTATGGCGCGGCCCCAAACCGCATATACACAAACACCAAATATCCATGCCCTGAATTGGATTCGAACCCAATATTCCGGCTTCCGAGCGAGCGAAGGCAGTGCATGCCTTAGACCACTCGGCTACCGTGACCGACGAAAATGACGTTAGAAGAAACAATATTAGTAATAAAGTGACCCCCCCCCACACACACACACACACACACACACACACACACACGATGAATGTTACTCACATGAATGATATTTCAGAATTACGTCGTCCCGTGTCTTATATGAAATCGGAACACAGCACCAGACCTGTCCTATTAACGTAATGGCATAAAATTGGAGCAAATTACAATTTCATACGAGTTTCTATGCACTATAGCCCATCGTATCCACATATCCTGGGCCCTAGGTTATGATAATTTGTTGAATTATTTCTCTAACCATGCAGTAATGAGAAACATTCATCAGGGTATCCCAGATATCGTTAATTCAAGTCTGAACATAATATTTGATCACAAGATATGAAAGAACTCAAGTAACGCTTCTGTAATGATCCCCCAAATTACTATATTCATGGAAGATTAGAGTATAATTATTTGGGAGAATGGGAGAGTATTATTGATCTCCTGAATTATTAGATTAAATTATATAGATGGCACATTAATTATGTTAATTCTCGACCCTAAATATAATAAATGCTAATGATATATATTTATTGTCATGAAATGCTTGTCGATTCTGTTAGTTTGATTCCTATTGAATTAATTTACCATTAGGTAATTTTGGCTGATGGCTGCGTAGACATCTCAGTTTCTAGCTTCATTTACTACTGCCTCTTTAATAAATAAGAATTTCGAGGTAGGATCAATTGTGCCTCCATGCTTTCGGTAGTATTAACGTGTATAGAAATTATTTGAAAACATTTTAAATGTTTAATACACGGGGACAGAAGATTGTAGGAAACAAATGCTCATGCTTATCATCTTTCGTAATAACAGGTTTGACTTCGTAGCTTCAAAAATTCATCGCTTACGATGTCCAATATGCCCCTAAGGATATGGCTGTTTCACTGTGCAAGATCGTAATGGCATTCTTTGACTGTTATAAAATACACTGACAGCTGAATATTTTATACATCTGTAAACCTTCTGTAAAGTTATCATGGTGTCTTTGGTGCTGCTACAGTCGTTGTCATCCAAAATATTCGCAAGGCTATCAGTACGGTGTTTTTCAAGTGTTTGAAAAGTAGAGTAATCTGGTAGCCAATGTTTTAACTACATGTCCCAAAATATATGCCCTAGCAATAATTTCTATATTCAGACACACCTTTCGATAAATTTTGAAAAGTGATATGAATATACTTATTTTCTTAAATTGTTATTTAGAATCATATGGGCTGGACAACCGAGGGGTCAGAGTTTAAGTCCCAGTAGGGTCAAGAATTTTCTCTTCTCCATGTTGTCCAGACCGACTCTGGGGTCCACCTGGCCTCCTATCCAATGAATACCGGAGGCTGTTTCCCTGGGGGTAAAACGGCCGTGGCATGAAGCTGACCACTCACCTCCAGCTAGTGCCGAGGTGAAGAAAATGTGGATCTATACATCTGCTCCCCCATACGCCCTGATGACGTAGTGTTTAATTAGCCAAGCACAAGGATAACTTTATCTTTATTATTTAGAATAAAGTATGAGCAATAAATTCTTGTAAACTCCATATTCAAAGAACCAGTGTTTCTGCAGGCCTCGGTCTGGGATCGACAAGAGCAATTTGGAGTGGCTGGAGCAGCTATTCCGACAGACGGTGGGCAACGAGCGAGAGATACGTCGCGATGACTTCAAGAAGATCGTCATCTCCAAGAATGTGAGTATTGTAGACACCATTTCAGTAGACCCTGTCATTTACTTTCAGGCTTTACATGTAATTCCATAGTTTCAAATTCATTTTTAGTCTACTTTTATTTCTTTTGGGGGGTGAGGAGGCGAAGATGTTGTTTTTGATATTGTAGTGCTATTAATGTGTGGCCCATTTTCTAACTATTGAATCAATAGACCATTTTTCACGAAATTAGTATGAATGTTAGTCCACTGGAGCCCACCCCACCCTTATAAATTTTTATTTCTAACAGTCAGTTGCTGCGGTTACTGTTATTGCTATCAGTTACTCTGCTTGCTGAATTTTTGAAAGAATAAAAATATTGTTTTATAATCCTTACCATATACATATACTATGGTCATTACTTTCAAGCAGTGCATATTAATGACAAGTCTGTGCAGTGGGGAGGTGATATCTGTGACTTCTGCTCAGAACTCCCCATGCAAGGTACTGGTTCACACTCACAAAGTGAGTGCTGCTGAGTGGACTCACAAAAATGGAGAGCCAAACAAACTTACATGAATGTGGCTTGATATAGCAAGAGCCATCTATCTCAGCCACAACAGTCCATAGGCTCCCATCTACTTGGTGCCTTCTGTGTGGTGCTAACGATTCACGCTAACTACAACGGTTTTGACACTATCAGTAAATAAGTGATGGTATTATAGCAGTTACAGTTAGTCTGAATCGTTAGCACTGCACAGAAATACAACTCGTTGTACAGAATGCACCAAGTAGTTTGGAGCCCAGCTGACTGCTAAATTGCTGCTGGCCCTCGCAAGCACACTGATTTTTCATTCTGAGTCCCACGAGGCTCATGGCCTTATGTTACTGTCAGACAGCTCTGGGAGCCTTCAGACTATGAAGACTGCCACTCTTTATATAGCCTCCACACGAACCACACAGAAAAACCGTTCCTCCATTGTGTGTATAATCGTTGTTATGGTGATGAGTTGTTTATTGTGCCATAGCCTAGTAACGGCTCTCTCTTCAGTTATAATGTCACAAGATCATGACAAAGTCTTGAATCCATGGAGCTTTACCTCCATACCAACTACATGCAATGATAATGTGATGCTTAGGCACCAAGGTCAGTTTTACCTTCACCATGCACAGATTTTTTAAATGATTCATTTGTTACTCCATTAGTTAGGAGGTTGGTTTTACTCCTTTCCAGCCATTCTTCACAGAACGAGTGTTCCAGATCTTTGATAAGGATAATTCAGGTTCCATCTCTCTACAAGAATTTATTGATGCAATGCACCAGTTTGCTGGCCAGTCCCCAGATGATAAAATCAGGTTCCTCTTCAAGGTGTATGATTTAGATGGTAAGTTGTATAGTCAGTTTTCCAGTACCTAGAAATACAGCCAAGGAACTTAACCACAACAACAACAACAACAACAACCACAATCATTATCATCATCCTCATCACATCAGTTACCATGCTTTACTATTACTGGTAACTACTACTGTACTTTCAATAACAAAATAAAGGAATCAAGGAATGAATACAGAATTTTGGTAGAGAAATTTTTTGAGAAGCAGTGATTTGGAAGACCGAGGTGATATGTGGATAACAATAAGATGAATCTTTCTGAGAGGTTGTTGGGAAGGGAGGTGGATGGAACTGACTTAGGATTATGTTCAGTGCCTAGCTGTGGTATTTCCTAGTGTTGAAGCTATGAGGTCTCTCTTGAAAGTGACATTCAGCTTTAATTAACTGGCAATTCATGCATAGCTCGTAATAGTAGGCATAGCATTGAATATTGTTGTATAGAGAACCGCACATAATTACTGGGAGGAAGTATTTTACTTATATTTACAGGGATTAAGGGATTAGCAATCATTTACAGAGGTTCATATTGTGGTTTTCTGTGTTATGACACTGTGTAGTCTGGTACATGGCTGCATTATGTCATATCTGAGCAAACCACAATGTGAAAACTTTGCCACCATGGAGATATTTTGTACATATAAGCATGTGTTTGTAATTAATTGAATGAGCTACTGCAGAATTAAGAATAGAACTTATTCAGTTGCAAAATGGAGGTAAAGTTTTGAAGAAAATCTCTACATTGTGACACAGCACAGTGATGGAGAATAATGTCCCTTCCATATTCATTTGCAATGTGATGAAAAAAATTTATTAGCCATGTTTATGTTTTATGCTGACACTAAACAAGCATGAGGATCAACTGTCTAAAATTTGTTATTTGTATCATCAATAAGGACAGTGAAAATAGTAGGAGGTGTAAATTTGTGTTCAAAGAATTTATTAATATGACATTGCCTGTGTTCCTGTTCAGGAGATGGTCTGATTCAGCATCGGGAACTACAACATGTGATGCGAGCATGCATGGAAGAGAATGGCATGAAGTTCAGTGAAGAGCAGATTGATGACCTCACGATGGCACTGTTTGAAGATGCTGATTCAGAAAACAGAGGTACTATTACATATGAAGCACTTAAGAACCAACTGGAGAAACATGGAGGATTACTGGAAAACTTATCAATCAGGTAAGAATTCCTGTCATTATTGCTTCCCTCTGTGCTGTTCTAAAATGTATTTGGTGACAATAGAATATTATCTTGCGCATAAATGCCAATCATTTAAGTTAAATAAATCAGCAGTTCTATGAGACTGTATCATTGATCAGGAAGTTATGCACCAAATTGAATCCCAGAGCAGTTTATTTGGGAATTGTGATAGATAAGAAGGTAGTGGAGCATACTTTTCTTAAGATTAGTTCAGTTTTCTTCTGTCAGTCATCATTTCACTCCTCTGCCACTACTTGTAAGGTATGTGATATGACAGAACAGGATAGCTTTTGGTGTGCACATTTACGAGTGCTGCTTATAGCTTGGAAACTTCTGATTCGCAGTGTCTAAATAGCACTGAATTTAGAACACAGTGTACATAGACATTGCTTGCTTCCTTCTTTTTGCCTTCCTGCTGCAGGAAACAAGTTTATTCTTACTTCACCTCCTCATTACATGTTTTCCAGTTTGTTCCTTGTCCTCGGAATCCTTTAGGTTTCCATCTGACTTGCTTTTGTGAAGTATATAAGTATTCAAATCTTCTAAGTGGAGAGGTTACCCACACAAACCCCAACCTGGAAGACAGACTATTTCTCTTCATCTTGCGCCTACTTCCCAACATGCCTAGCAAAGGAGACCCACCTAACAGCTACACTGCTACTCTTGAGGTTTTCGGTTCTCACAAATCCCTGCACTATAATTAAGTAGTAACAGTATTCAGGGGATTAATCTTTTACATAGTATAATCCAAAATTTTTCTTCATTTTTATTGATTCTCTCCCAAAAGGATTACAATGTTTTTTCATTGTACAATAAACAGTATTAATCATGGAAGTAACCCAGTAATTCAGAAATATTAGTAACTTATATTGGCCACCAGAAATTGATTTTCAAAGCAGTGAAATAATTGTTTTCTAAGACAGATTTTTTCTTCACTGTTACTTATTCATGATGTGAATAAAGACAAATGTTCACATGAGGGCCTAATTAGTAGGACTTCGATCAGATTATTTTCAATGTTTTATTACTATACATAATCTCTTTTTCAAGCCACCAAGGAATAAGTTAATCAGGTAAGCAAAATTCTGAAGTGGTCTTTCATCTGTAATTCTAAATTTGTATCCTTGAATAGCTGATATAGTTGCTTTTCAGTATGAGACTCTTTTACAAAATCCTAACACCATAAACTATAATGAGATGGTATATGTTTCATTACAGCATTGACAGGTGGCTGGTGCCACCCAAACCAAAGCCACCACCGCGCTCCCTCTTTGGCAAAATCTCTGCATTGTGTCCATACCAACTGTCAAGACAATATGTGAAGAACAATTATGTATATCTTATCTTCCTGGCTTTCTATGTGCTTGTAAATGTTGGCCTCTTTGTATCACGGTCTATTGAGTACCGTGCCTCTAATGGATATGTCATTGTTGCCAGGGCTTGTGGTAAGTTCTAGGCTCTACAAGGTTGTATTTGTGATTCAATAAACATTATTCATTTTAAATAGAATTAAGAATTTTATGTTGGAATATTATTTATTCGTCTGTTCCTCAGTTTCATATCTTAACTGTTTGTCAGTTTTAGTATAGGAGACCATTATCAAAACTGACAGAAACTGGACAGTGTTTATCTAAAGGGATCCAACATCCATCTCAGCTAACAGCTGTTAAGAATGTTACATTGTTCATAAATCAATATATATTGACAAGTGTTTGGTTTAAATAAGCATAACACCAAAACAACATTCCAGAATTACACCAAAATTCATTTTTGTATGACTATTCAGCAAGTGGAGTATGATATAAGCTTTTGTAATAACGGTAATCTTACAAAATCTGTGAGTTTTCAACTTCCATTCTTTAAAATGCTGTTAAAAATTAGATATTGCTCCACAGTAAATGAACCTTCATGTAAACAAATTCATGGTTCCATGTATGGTAATGATGTGCATAGCAATGATGTATTTATAAGTAATAGAATAGGAATCAGGTGGACTGTACATCTGGGTACAATGAACCAAAGATAACTTTTAATGAATAATTTGCATACTAGTGGAAGCATCACAGAAAAACCTAAAAGTATATTTTTACTTATCTTCAGTGCATTGTTCATAAACATTTTTAAAATTAAACTCTCTTATATCTTGTGCATTAAATCCAGTATGATATACCTGTATCTTTGTTTATAATTGTAAAGGACATGGACCTTGGGGAAAATTTTATTGTCTCATATATTCCTCTTCATCATCATTGGCAGAACAACCTTTTTTGGGTGATAGCCTTCCTTAGAAGATTCTGGCAGATTTGTGTATTCCATTGTGAATTAGACCAATCGGTTTTCGCTTCCTTGGATTTTGCAACAGTAGTTTTTTTTACAGAACAAGGTCATCAGCCTTGTGTCCAACCCCCATCCTAGAGGACCAGGTCTCTGTATATCCTCCAGTAACAGGGTGGCCCAGTTATGCCCCCAGGCACTGGGTTCCCTTTTCCTTGCCTTCTATGACTCACAGTGCTGGAGGGGGGGGGGATTTTAACCTGCCTCCACACAGGACATACAGAGAACACAGTTGTTGTCAGGGTCTGATAAATGGTATTATGCACAAACCAGTTCAAAATGTCTTCATAAATTCTGTCAATTTTGTATTGAAAGAAGGAATGAACTGATCCTTGCACAAAATTTGACTTGCTCTGATTTATTTTGATTGAAACTTAATACAACTTAAACTTAAGCTTTCTTCTGAATAATATACTCTCTTCTATTACAGGGCAGTGCTTGAACTTCAATTGCATGTTCATACTAGTACTAATGTTGCGCCAATGTATCACATTTCTGCGAACGCATGGATTCAGCGTCATTCTGCCTCTTGACCACCATATATACTTCCACAAATTAACTGGAGTTACAATCATCATACAGAGCATTGTCCACACCATAGTGCACCTGCTCAACTTCAGTGAGTATCAGTGTACTGGAAATCCATCATATTAATATGTAACATAATGTCTTGTACTGTGAATTTTTCTATATGAAGGTGAATTACTGTGGAGAAATATATAATTTCCCAGCAGAATTTTTGTGCATGAAATTGGAGACACGTCTGGTACACAAACTGCATAAAATTCAGTCAAACAGCGTTTCTTTACCATAACTTTGAAGATTTACACCATTACTGCACTTTCAAGACTTGAATGACATGTTTAATATAAAATTAATAAGCATGTTTCTAATATTTCTTCATATAAAATTTCATATATCTAAAGGAAAACAGTTATTTACTAAAAACGAAAGTGCATGGTTAACATATTATTGTTTCCACTATTGACACAACATAATTGCTGTTATTATTTCCATCCTTCACATTTTGTGCCTTAGGTGACCGCTAGTTTACCCCAAACCTTACAATGCCTCTGCTAGTAACTGTGTAGCAGTACTTCTAAGGAAAGCCTATCTCTACGTTTAAGAACAAAGAATATAGCACTCATAACTATCTTATAGTGTTTTGTTACTAAGAACACATTATCCAAAGTTGTCTTTCAGACATTTTTCCAAGTAAATTTACTTGTTTTTCTGTTGACTGATAATCCATGTTAGGTTGGCCTACCAGGAGCAATTATTTGTGACTCTTTTGAAAATGATCTCATAGTGAATTAAAGTTGGAACTAATCTGATATAACTTACTATGTCATATATTCTACACCTGTTCAGTTGTTACATTAAAATCACTCAATCTGCAAAGCCTCATTTTTAAATGGGATACGTATGATCACTTAAAAGATTACCTCTTAACCCACTCCTTCTACTCTGTAGGTGAGATTACATTTACTGAAAAATGTTAGGCTTTATGCATATCTATACATGAAAAAAGTTGTTTTAAAAATTTATAAGTTTTAGGTAAATCTATATTTGATAAAAGGTTCTGTACTTATATTGTGACATATTCTACATTCTTTGGTTTAGCCAAAAAAAAAAAAATTTATGGAATGCATATAAACTCTGCCGATCACAGTGACCATGTAGTCTACGACATGGGATGTCTTCATCTGCTCAAACGTTGGGATCATGGGTCAAATCCCACACAAGGCACGTGTGTTTGCCTGCGTTTTTCTGTGTTTATGTGTAGGTAGCAGCCTTGCGATGGGCTAACCCCCATCCAAGCAGTCCTACTGACTGCCTAAGATTAAGAAACTGAAGTAAAACAAGCGTTTCACTGATGCCCTATGCTTAAGTGGAAGTAACAGGAATACATGGATGGATGGAAGGGTGGGCGGGTGGATAGAAACTCTGTTCTACTATATTAATGCAGGAGAGATGTTATGTTACATGTCCTAGTCACTGTATTTCTTTGTTCTGCCAATTTAATAACCAGCAGTGTTATTTATGTGTTCAGTTAGTACTTTCATGGAGATAATTCCACTTTTTACAGAATACTTAAATGTTGGAGTTCATTAATTGCTTTTGAAAATTGGTAATTATTTTATCATTTTTGTCATTTGCTTTCAGGTTTGATTGTCGTTAATGACCCAGTTACTAATAAAAACAACTATACACTCACTGATTGGCTGCTGACAAGTAAACCTGGCTTGTTTGGCTTAGTGGGAGGTGTTGCTAACCCAACTGGAGTGGCGCTTATCATCATCCTTTTGGTCATGATTATTTGTTCACAGTCCTTTGTTCGGCGTGGTGGATCTTTTGAGGTATATACATCTTGAAGTGTATATGATACTCATATGAATTCATTTCTTAATTTTGTAAATTTCACGTGAGTTCATGCATACTTGTGACATATGTGAAAATTTCCTTTAAATTTAATAGTAATTCAGATGAATTCAACTATTGTCAACAAAAGCACTTGTTCTTCACATCTGCTTCCCATCTTTCGACCTTCTAGAAATTTTCAACTTTTTGTACCCCTTTATTATATAATATTTTTAAGCTGAGACTGATAAATGACAACAGCTTGTCTAAAATTTGGTTTAAATTTTATACTACATTTTATCTATCAGAATACAACGGCTTTGGTTCCTAGGGTTTTGATAACACTCAGGGTAACTTTAGCTGTTGAAAGCTGATATCCATGGCTCTTTGAGACTGAAACTGTCATGTTTAGACTATACACTATACTTAATATTTTAATGGTAGATATATTGTGTATTTATAGTACTTTTTTACTATTTAATTAATTACTTATATAGCCTTTCTGACAGAAAATTTCCACTGCAGAAATTATTCTGTGCTCTGTACATAGAATTGTTCCATCAAACATATGGAATGTTGCAACATTAGATTTTATCTTGTCAGAAATTTTACTGCAAAAATATAAATGTAAATAATTGACTTCTGAAATACAAATTCAGATTTAGAGGTAATAATAATGAAACATTGCAGTGATGTCTACATTCTGACATTCTGGTCAACACATAAGCAACTTATGCATATTCTTCACAAACAAACAAAGGGTTATGACATCAAGCCTCAAACATAGAATTCTGTTGCTATTTAATATTTATAAATTTTACATTATTATTGCTGATTACTAATTTTTGCATAATGAGAGAGAAGTGAGATCAATTTATGTATTCAGGATGTGTTTACAGGTTTTCTATTGGACACATCTGTTATACATTCCATTCTGGCTGCTGGTCATCTTCCATGGTCCCAACTTCTGGAAATGGTTCATTGGTCCGGGAATCTTATATGTAATTGAGCGTGCTCTTCGCTTAGCCTCAATGCGCACAGACCGTGGTAAAACATACATAAGCTCTGGACTGTTGCTTCCTTCTCGAGTGACTCACCTTGTCATTAAGCGCCCTCCACACTTTGATTTCCATCCTGGTGACTATGTCTTTGTCAACGTTCCTGCTATTGCCAAATATGAGTGGCACCCATTCACCATTAGCAGTGCACCTGAGCAAGAGGGTAAGTTTCAGGCACAAATAATATTAATACAGCAAAAGGACACACATTGCAAAATATGTACACTTAATGACATAAGAAAACACAATGCACAAGCAGGGCTAACATTGCTATAAATTTGTATTACATCATGTTAAAAAACACAAGTTAAAATATAGAAATTTAAAATTGTGAATAAATCTGCTATTCAGTGTTTTGCTGATGGATAGATTTTAGATCTGTTCAGCTCCCATATGTGTATGTGCTAATCTGAAAAAAAAAAAAAAAACTCAAGCATACAGTATGTAAATGTTATTTTTATCTTTTATATGCTTGGAAAAACTTAACTCACATTGAAAATTAGGTTACTCCTTACATGCCTGGTTTATGATAAAACCAATAGGAGTGAGTTCTGTTATCAACTTTTATGGGCTTTCAGCAACGGAAATTACAACCTAACTTGTAACTATATAAATGAAATTGGCATCAGACATCCTAATTATTCAAGTTATCACATAAATATTTAAAAAGTAAAGTAATCTAGGGAAACTTTCATAAGAGCATATTTTCTACGCCATTATAATTGCTTATGAGGTGTAAGGTCCTCACAGCAGGGAAATATTAAGACTAAATTTTTCTGAGATGTGGCATTATGTACTCTGGTAGACGGGTATTGATGTTTCAGAGGGATATACTGCTTTAGTCTTCACATCCCAGAAGACAGCAGTCTCAATAGAATGGTTTTACTGCACTGAGTTGTACACTCATTTTTCACAAATGAGACTCATAATATTATATTTCAGCATTCTGTTGCATTGCAGTATCACCCGTTCCTTCTCTTCGGTCTATAATACAACATTTTTTATTTCAGCTGATGCCAAACTTACATTCAACTCAGTAAAATGTCAGTTAGAATGCTTCTAAAAATGTAATTAAAATATATTCCATGTCTGGCTACATGTTTCAGTCTCATAGGGCCATCTTCAGGCAGCACATTTTATTGAACGTACTGCACTGTGCTTGCTTATGTCAATGGTACATGTTGATGTATGTCGTCCTCATTCTCAATTTTAGTATTTTGAGAATATCAGCCCTTTTTCTATCTAAATTCTCAAAATACTAAAATTGGGAATCATGACGAAGTACATCAATGAGTACTATTGACATAAGCGAGCACAGTGCAGTACGTTCCATCAAAAGCCATTTGGCTACGTTTTAATCACTATTCACCTGACTGTAGAAATATGGTCACCAAACAGCATGTCATCATAGTCGTCGTCGTCATCATCATCGTCATAATCATCATCATCATATTTGTTATAAAAATATTATTCACATGTTTTATTCAGGTTGCAAATATATTTATTTACTTATCTTCAACATTTGCTGTGAAATTTCTTAAAACACTGTTATTTTTACACTTCAGCTGGACAGTTTTGTCCATACCCCATAGTAGACTTTCCTGTATGTACGTAGAATTATTCTGTTCATAATGGTTAAAAGGCTCAAAATTCAAAAACCAGTTGTACAATTATTTTTGCGGGGGCTCTAAAATTTTACTAGCTCCTAGGGCTGTGAATTTATTAACATTTTAATTGAATATCTCTTCACCATTTATGAACAAGTAAATTGCTAGTTCATGAATTAATTTATTAATACATATGAGTATATTATGCTAAATGATAATTAACTTATTACTGAATGAATAATGAATATGTCTTTTCAGTCAGCAGCTGGATTCAGTATTATTTGCTAATGCTGTTTAGGCACGCAGTTATGTTTAATTATAAATACAATGTGAGTAAAGTGCATAGTTTTGAATGTAAAAGTATGTGGGCCTTAAGCATCTTGTTTCCACAGATTACATGTGGCTCCATATCCGAGGTGTGGGAGAGTGGACAAATCGCTTGTATGACTACTTTGAACGTGAGCAGGAGAAACTGCACAGTGTTGAAGAACAACTGGCTGGGAACAGACAACTAGCTGTCAATGTGACACCTGAACCTAAAGGCATCAAGAGACTGCAGGCGTATGTATAACATTATAATGGAGATATTTTCTTCAAAATTTCACCTACACAAATCATTTTCTGTTTCTAATAGCATTCAGAATTATAAGTTCTACAGTTGTATTTTCAACAGTGCTACACATGAACTACATATAATCAGGGGAACAAGTTATACCTCCATTGTCTGCTTAATGCAGTTTGTTCGTTGTAATCCAGAATTTTCTATTGTTATGAAAAATCCAAGTTCTTAGGGAAGTTAAATAGGTGATAAATAGCCATTGTGATTCAGTAGACAGTCGCCAGAATTTCAGAAGAACATATCTACCAAACTCCATGGCAACACATCCCAGAAGACCATAGTCTTATATATAAAAAGGAATCTATCGTGCAATTCACACGCAAGAGGAGCACAGGGACAGACAGGTTGCATTCTAAGTGTCACTTATTAGATTTGTAGGTACCCAGCATGCCCTTCTTAATGAAAATATAGTTTCTTAACGATCATAATATATTCTATATACATGAAAGTAAACAGAATAGTTGCAGAAATGTATAATCTGTGTTACATGAAAATAAAGCACAATAGATCACTGTAGGTCGCGGTACAAGGGCCGAGAAGGCCCACCCCTTATATATTCATACATGAAAATAAATTCTTTAAATGTAATATTGACTTATTTTCATTGGGGAATATTTGGTTTACAATGGAAAAGAGCTATTATATCTATTCCTTAACTTTTCCTGATTTTAATTCAGTACTCAAATGAGATCAAATTCTGATTGAGTCTCAGTCAACTCTTTTAATATTGTTCATGCTATTAATGAAGTGTGTCGCTTTGAAAATGATCATTCTTCCTTGTATATAATGTTGTATTATACTCCCCTGTTTATAATATCATCCATCAAAAGCCACCTGTCATGCCATTTTTTGATACCTTAGGTTATTTGTGGTTTCCAAAAAACTGAATTTTATAAATTACCATGAAATGAAAACAAAAGAATATCTTTTTTCTGAAACGTAGGAGTTAAGCTTGAAAACGATGACTGTATGTGATTCTGATTTGCAGCTCAATCCAGAGAAAGTTCACAGATCGTGACAGCTCCACCAGTAGTAAAAGTAAGGGCATGGAAGTCATAAAAGAGGGAAGTTCTCCTCGAACTGGCTATATGAATGAGAGTTCATCCAGTGACAGTGACTTCAATCTCAACTCATCAATGCCCCATCACTCCGATATCGACATCAGTGGCCCGCACGCAGGAAATAATGGTGAGTTCCCCTGCCATGATGGACTCATGACTGACCCTTTAACTAACTGAACTAGTTATATGGTGAATAATCAGCTTTGGTTCTCTCTTCTGTTACAAAGAACTGATATTAAATGTTTCTATCGGGCTCATTTCGTTTAAAGAAAGGGAGAAAGAGTTTTAAAATGTGAAAATGCAGAACATATATTGCTGTTACTTATACTTCTTCAGAAGAGAAATTGAAACCATTTAATTAATTTTGCAAATAAATAGTCATTCTTGTACAGAAGCATGAAAACGAAACAGTATCAGTAGTTTAAGTGAATTAATTTAATTAATTAATTAAGTGACAATTTAAACGAAACCCTTAAGAACTGAACAGCATTATATTTCTTTTCAGTTTAAATATTTGCCTTAATCTATTAAATTCAATTTATTATAAGTTATTAAAACAACATTGCCATTGTCAGAAACATTAGTGTTGATATTATAAATCTGATCAGACTTCATGTTTATAACTTCCATGTGATTTGCTATTTCACAGCAACATTATACTTATTTTCTAATCTATAAAATTTGCCAAATGAACTGACATAACTAACTTACACAGGTGAGAATCTAGTAACAAAATTATAGTTTTATTATGGTAAAAATGTTGCTATAAAAAAGGATTATGTTTCATTTGTTTATCTTTAGCTTTTAAATTTCGCTTCCATTTGTTTACTATGTTGACAGTTGCAAACAATCAATGCAGTTGATTGTACTTTATTCCAGTTAACCATCAAAACTTAATTTGGTGTCTGTTTGTGTAATGTATCCCTTAAGGTTGCATCATTTGATGAATTACTCAACCTTTTACAGCGAAAAACTTGTTCCCAGAAAGATGGAAAAATATACAATTTTAATTCATTTCTCATATTGTTTGTAGACTGTACAAGTCTGACAGGTCCACCCCGAAAACTGACTCCAGAGAAGAAGCTTCATATGTTACTGATGACCAAGAAGTCTCCATTATCAAAGTCACTGTCCATGCCTGACATAGAGACACGTGTGAAAAAAAGGGAGCGACTCATGGCGTAAGTAGTCTGTGGGTTTGGAACATGTTTCTGTTCTGAAAGTCAACACAATTCAGTATTTGAGAAAATAAATTGCATTATAGTAGTCTTAAAGGCTTTATGTAATGTAGCATTTTTAGTGAGACTGATTTCTATATGATGTATCCATCTGTCTGTCCACATACTTCATCTTCAAAATGCAAGTTTTTGATGAAATTCGGTGTTGGAGATGATCTGTGATAAAATTTGTCAGAGAATTCATGTTGCTCTATATTGGCCCACAGTAGCCCACTTTTGCACAAAAGTCTGATGGAATTTCATCACATTTATTGAAAAGTGATCTCTGTGCAAATAATTAGCAGAATTTATAACTTTTATTTGAATTCTTTTTGGTATTGCATATGTTTAGTGAAGTAAAGAAAGGCTATTTATGTTCTTGTACATCATAATATCGATACTATAATTAACTCTTTCAGTAATAAATTTGTTGTATTTACAATGAACAAGATGTGGGATCAGTTTCCTTGTTCTGTAAGCATTCATGTGCTGAGTCAGAGATGAAGCTCTCAAGTTACAGACTGAAGATGGATAATGTCCTACCTTGTCAGGGCTAACACACACCTTAGGGGATGCTGATGGATGAGCATAAAGCAATGATGAAATAGTGAGTACTAGGGTAAAACTGAAGAAACATACTGCAATTCTACTGTATCCACCATGAATCATCCATGAAGTCGTCCAGCTATGATCATACAAAGTACGCTTGGAAAATATATACATTCTTATTTACTGTTGAATTGAGTTAAAAAATGTTAGTACAATTAAACAGTCATAAAATACTATATTATGTTTTTAGTTTTTTATGAAAACAACTTATTTTTATTTTTAAGGCTTCGTGAATACATGCGTTCAGAGTCAGAGAAGAGTTTTGATGAGTGCCAAATTCGTCGGGCTCGACTACAGTCACTAGGCCTGGCGTACCTGAGTCCACAGAACAAATCATTAGCACAGAGTTTCCGGTACATGCGGAACAAACCTACAATCATTGCCTTCAAGACTCCAAGCCTTGAAAAGTGTGAGGCTACAGTAGCTCTCCTCTCTAGCAGCAGTTCTCAGAATCCTGAGAGAGCAGCTGAAGAAGGCAGAGCGCCTGCAGTAGTGAAGACAGGCGCTAAGAGTGAAGAAGACATTAGCATGGAGGTTGTGACTGTGAAATCTCCCATTACCTCAATGAACTATCCAGTTGGGAAACCTCTAGAAGTGAGTATGACGTTCTGTGTACAGTCACCACACACGATCACATTGTGTTGCATGCAGGTTTGGGTGTTATAACTCACTGGTGATGGAAACGTGAAATGAAGACTATTTGAATAATCATATAATTTTTGGTCAGAAAACCTGAAGGGAAGAGACGCTCAGGAGGCCAGGACATATATTCACTGATAATATTAAAACGGATTTTATGGAAAAAAATATATGAGGGTGTGGGCCTGATTGAACTGGCTCTGAGTAGGGTCCAGTAGCAAGGTATTGTGTGCATGGTTTCCATAAAAGCAGGGAATTTTGTTGATGAGCTAACTACCAGCTTCTCAAGGATGAATGTGAACTGAGGAGTTAATGTGATTGTAAATAAATAACTAGAAGCACTATGTAGAAAAAGTAAGTTCATTTTTTCACTTTTCTTTAGGTAATATAAAGTACATAAAAATGAATAACGAAATATGAAACATATTAATTGCAGAGAAACTTGGAACTTACTTTTCACTCTTTCTCTTAAACAGAGTCCTGTTATACTATAGGCAGAAGGTTGCACTTGTTGCAAACTGAAGCATGATCTGCTGTGTTATATTCTGTGGCTTAAAATTCAGGTAATAATTGCTGTAAATAAGATGGTTGTTAAACCCACAGCAAGGGAATGTTAAGTTTTGTGACAGGAAATGATGCTGATTTGTTACTTGGGTTATTCTTTAACCCTGAAAATAGAAGGACATTTTTCTCTGAAATGTCAGTTGACTTTCCACAGATTACACGGTGTTATATCCCAGAAGATGGGACTCTTCATAACCACTATTGTGGGAACCTCAAATCCCACATTGATATCTTACTTACTTAAATGAAATTATTAAATATCGCCCTTTTATTTCAAATTCCATATTAAAATTGCATTAACATATTGATTCTAACATTTATTCATAGAGGAATTGGGAAAGGTGGCATTTTGATACTTACCAAAGCCTAGATATTACATATATCTGTATCTAAATTATGTGGAAATTTGTAAATAAGTTGCTGAAAGATTGACCATCTTATATACTGTATTTTCACCTGCCAATCAATATTTGCATTGTAAGCTTGTACAGTTTGTGTAATGGTGATAATATGTTCTCTTCAGCCAATCAATGAAGAATGTCTTACTGAATCTACAGCACAGAGTATAGGTGTGGAGGTGAGTGAGTTGCTGCTATTATGATATCTGGAACTGTGTTGCTGCAGCTATCTACTTTTGTTCTGCATGTGCATGAACAGTGGAAAGCTTTTCATCCACATATTTTACATCAGACCACACAGAATAATGACTCACTTGCTGATCAAAGAACTTTAGCTATTTTTGAGTCAAAGGACTTTTTAATGTTTCTTCAGTCTTTACAGTTGCAATAAACAGAATGAAATGCAATCCACAACAAAATATTATTCATCTTAATTACCGTCTTCATCGCATGATTTTAAATCGGTATAAATTGAATGAAGTTTTTTGTTGGTAAGATTGCCATGTTTCTTTCTTGGTACCATATCTAAAATTTTGATAGCTGAGTCCTTGTGAAGTCACTCAGCTACTCGGTAATGCCTCAACATTTTATGGAACCCAGAGGTCCATTATCATATTCACAAGAGCCCTGTTTCCTATCCTGAGCCAGATGAATACAGTGCATACCACCCCATCAGAAATGTCTGAAATCAAATTTTGGTAGCTGTTACATTTCATAACTAGAAATGGTTTACAACCTCAGATTGTTTTACAGAATAGCTCAAGAAGGTAACAAGAGATCAGATGTCTTAAGGCAAAGAATTTAAAAATATATCTTAATTTTAAAGGTACCCTATTGGGTACTTTCACTAAGCTCAGACGGACAATACCTGGAGTGCTAGATACAAAGCGACATTATTCTAATAAACTGCATCGCTTGTAAATTTTTTGTTTACTTCAAAAACAATTTAGGAATACAAATTTTAACATGAACATTAGAAAACCAAGTTGTAAAGATGTAAAATGAAGTAAACTGGCTCAGGATAAGATCCAAATGATGAACTTCTGAATTAGATAATTTCTAAGTCTTTTGTTCTCAGTCGGTTCATAAAACAAAACTGAAATACGAGATTTTGTCTGTTATTAATGGAGATAACATTGCAGCCCTTGCTGTATGGCAAGTGATCCACTGTAAAATGCTTCATTTTCAGGTGCTTCATAACAGTGTCACCCTTGCTTTCCTGATCTTGCCTATACACACTTCATTTCTGCACTATACACATTATCAGGACAGTGTGCTAACTGCAACTACATGACAGCACGTGTATTGATAACTGACTATATTTATACTGCTAGATTTGTGTTGGGGATACTTGTTTATGTAGACAGAGGAAGATCTACTTCCATAGCCTATAATTTCAAAATTGTTCTCATATTCTGGGAAAATGTCAAATTCTTTTCAGTATTTAAATGAAAATAACTCAACTTGACAAAAGAAATGAAGGGATAATTTTAACACATTCAACCACATCCACAAGCATACCCATGTGCTGTCATTTTACAGGCCTCAGTCACCTCAACTACATTTTTTACAAATGTGAATCATTGCTAAAGGTGGTTCTACTACCATCTGTCAGTGACATTTTGATACTATATGCCTTAGAAAAGTGTAGGAGCAGAACATGACATTTAGATACTAATGAAAATGCTTCTTACAGTTCAAATGGTGGTTTTCAGTAACAATTCTTATTACTTTTCTTAGTTTGGTTTTCTGGGCAGGCTACCTGAAATGAAGAAGGATGCGATTGGGTTAGTTTACTGAAAAACCTTAATGTCATTGAATGTCATTGTTAAAAATTTTGTCTGGAGATTAATCTAAAACTGTCATTCTGTGCATACGGGAGCTTCAATGTCGCTGCAAATATATTTCCCAGTGGTTGACATCAGAGGGTTCTTTGGGGTTGAGGATTATATTCCTTGCCAAAATCAAATGAAGAAATATATGTAAGAGAAATGTGTTGGTTTGCAAAATTTATAATTAAATATGAATCAAAATATAAGGGGCTGCAGTCAGGTGTAAGAGGAAAGCTTGCAAGTACCAGTATCATAGAAAGGAGAATTAAATCTACATGTACTTTCAAATATGAATGAAATGCTTTATGTGAAGTGTGAAAAAGTGCGATATCAAAAACCTGATTTGTGTTGTGCATCGGTTCATTATATTTCTTTCAGGAATATACCTGTGCTATTACAGAAACAAGGGTTAAGTCACTGAATGTCATTTCTGGAGGAAAATGAAAAAACTTTAGAAGTTATGCAATAATATATTTAACTCAGTATTTTATTATGTTACTGAATTAAAAGTGCTTAGGGACATATCCTGGTTTCTATTTGATCCTTTTAATTAAGAGAATTTTATGATGCACTTGTCTCATTTTGACAAAATTTTAACAGAACTATTTTTCTGCAACACCATAGATGTTTCTGATTTTCAGTGGTCTATTTTTTTGTCTCATCATGTCTTTTTTTAAGCCTGGCTATTCGTTATATGATGTGTACACACATGTTTATTTGATAGGAGCAGCATAACAACTCTGTGCTGTCCAACTTATGCCCCTATTCTGCTCTTCCATCAGGAAAACATTGAAATGTTATCTGTAGCAACTTCACTGCATTACATAACAAAACTTTTATAATTTGTTTTGTAATCAATTTTCTCTCTTCCATGTACCAGTATATTCTTGCTTTATTTCTTAGTCTCTCTATGTTTCTTCCAGGCACAATTTTCCATATTTGTTATATAATGCATGGAAATTACTCTGTGGTTAATTGCTGTAAGATACATAATCCTACTGTAATTTTAATGCAAGGTACTATCTGTATTATCTGCATCAGATAAAGTAGATTGCAAATGCAAAATAAAGTTAAGTGAATATTCTGTTATCTGGTATATATTGTAATATACCTCAGTAAAATTTGCAGTATGCAAATTACAAGGATTCAAGAAATCTGTGCATGCGCACTAACTGCCCTGCATACTATTATGGACACAAGTCATTCATTCTGTTATGAGAAAGTGCACTTCGATGAACAGTTGATGCAGTCATAACAAAAAGAAAATTATGTACTGAAGAGGAAGTGAAACAATTACCAAGGCTCTGCCCATGTACATGGTGCATGCTGAAAATATTAGGATGATTTTCAGATGATTCCTACTGTTGCTCTTGATACAGTGAAGCTCAGCAAGTCCCTAAAAAACAGTAGAATGGACAATGGAAACCAGTTCTATCAAATATTAGCCTCACCATGTCCTCACTGGAGGATAGCATATGTGATATTAATACAATGACCTTCAATTTACAGGATTTTACAAACACAACTTCAATTGATTCCCCAGTTTTAAGTAGCCGTTGTTTATGAATGGTTCAATCCTGAATTAGAAATGTTTATGTGAAACTTGACTGTTCAGAGGCAAAAAGAGACTTGTAAAGATGAGTACATGTTGGAAATATTTCGTAGCCTTAATCAAATTATTACTAATATTTGCTGTGTTTTGAATACTTTTAAAAAATATGATAATCTAAATTATATGCTTGGCATTAGTGTTAATACCATTATAAGTATAAAACCAATTTGAGTGTTTGTGAGTTACTAGTCATTAGTGGAATTTCTTGATCACAACTTATGGACTTACAGAACTAAGTAAACCATGTGACTAATTTTGGGATGGCATAATCATATGCAAGTTGGCTAGTGTTTGGAGATCATTGCTTTCTCCATCTGCAGCATGGAGTGATTGAACGCTCTAGTAGCTAGCACTAGTGCTTCGTATTTTGCTGATAGTTTTAAATTTAGTTAGGAGCCCAACTGCATATAGTCTTTATTGTTCTTCTCATTCTCTGCAGGCAAATTTTTGGATAGTAAGGCCTGCTTTAAAAACAGACCATGACTGCCTTCTGTAAATAGCCTCTAAACTAAAATGACATGGTATTACAATTCAAAAGATTTATTGGTCATATTGCATTCATGTGATGAATTATAAAGCATTTGGATATTAATCATTGCAGATCTACTTGGATGGCCCATATGGTGCTCCTTCAAGTCACATATTCCGAGCCCAGCATGCTGTGCTGATAGCAACAGGAATTGGTGTCACTCCATTTGCCTCCATCTTGCAGTCCATCATGCATCGATACTGGAAAGCACGTCACTGCTGTCCAAGGTGCAAGTTTGCTTGGGCCAGTGACATCCCTGCCACAGTCATGAACTTACGCAAGGTAAATGAAATTTGATATATGATATGATATGATATATGTTGTATGATGATATAGATATGATATATGATATGATCCAAATCCAATACATCCTCAGATCATAATACCAGAAAGAAATGTAGTTATGCAATTGATCCCCTGATCATCCTGTCTGTACATCATGTTTTCCTGTAATATTGCATGCCAGTATTTTTTTTTCCTTGGCACTACAGCCCCAGTGGGCCTAGGCCTACCTCCATGAACTTCTCCATTCACTTCGGTTTTTCTAGATCTTACACATTTGGTAGGACTCCTTGGGTGGGTGATCAGCTCATCGCAATGCCTCTACCTGTATACAAACACAGAAAAAGGCACAAACTAAACATCCACCACCTAAGTGGGATTCGAATCCAGGATCCCAGTATCTAAGTGAGCAAAGACAGTACATGCCTTAGACCATGCCAGTATTTTACCATGAAAAATATTTATGAAAGCAACAGCTGAAGGAGCATTGTTTGTAATGTTTTCATAAGTTAGCATTTTTATATCATTATTTACAATTTTATTTAAATTTACTGTGTCCTGGCACTATAAGACCTGTTAATAATTTTTCTTTTCAGTATTTCTCCCTTTCCTATTGTTCTTTTTTCATTTATTCATGTTCTGATGTGTTCTTTTATTCAGTCATTTATTTTTAATTAGCCTTATGGTTTACATTTTTGTATTCTAACTGTAGCAATTCAAACTTAAATTTTACTGAGTCCTACTGTGTTAGATGCAGGAAACAGTTGACACAGTGTTTTGTGCCCAGGTGGATTTCTTCTGGATCAACCGAGATCAGCGCTCATTTGAGTGGTTCGTAAATCTGCTATCACAGCTTGAGATTGAGCAGGCAGAACTTGGTGGCGCCATGGAGAGATTTCTCGAGATGCACATGTACATCACTAGTGCCCTACAGAAGACGGATATGAAGGCAGTGGGGCTGCAGCTTGCACTTGATCTTCTGCATGAGAAGGCAAGTTTCTCTACCTGTTAATAAAAAGTAACATATACTGCAACAAAAGCAATTAAATGAACAGTATATATCAATAGAATAAAGAATTATATGCTTTTGGGCACCTTATATAAAAGTATTTATTCTTCATTTTTTGTATTTTATGAAAAAATAAAAAAAAAACTCAGTTTGACATACCATTCCATAAAACTGTGAAAATCCTTTGTATAACCAGGATACTTGTGCTAAATGCACAGATGATTGTTTCCTGGAACTGTGATTGTCTCTGACACCAAAAGATTCCTTTGTCATAACTTTCTTCTCTGTGCTGTACTTGAGGTAATGATATTTCTCCATTTTGGGCTGTAGTAATCCAGGAATGTTCAAGGAGTATTTAATAAATTTTCAGTTCCAGTCACCAAAGACTATCGTTTTAAGATGTTCTTGCAAAAATTACATATTTTGTTTACAGCCATATTTCTATATCATGGACTAATTACAGGATATTCAGTCCCGCCCATTTTTTGCCACCACAACTGTACACACCTTTTTTGTATGGCAAGTAACATTCTCTGAGAATACACTTTCTTATTAAATTCACTGCTAAACATAAAAATAATGTTTTACCCCTAGTCATATTACATTTCTTGAAGCAGTTTTGAAAAACGAAGTTTTGTTCACGATCATTTTTCTCTATGGAACATTTTTAGTAAGCTCAAAAGTCTTAAAATTAACAACCTATTTGTAATTTTGTGGCACATTGATGTGTGTAATGAAAGCAGTCCTAATTCCACTAAAATTAGAATGCCTAATGTAGGAGTCTGCGAGCAATAATATAAGGATAAGTGATCATAATTTTTCTTGTTAATATGTAGGAGAAACGAGATTTAATCACTGGTTTAAAGACACGAACCAATGCTGGACGTCCAAACTGGGACAAAGTGTTCAAGCAGCTCCTGGACCAGAAAAAGGGGAAGGTGACAGTTTTCTACTGTGGACCACCACAGCTGGGCAGGATACTGCGGATCAAATGCGACCAATTTGGCTTTAGCTTCCGTAAGGAGGTCTTCTGAGGTCAAACCATGCTGATATTGCTGGCAGCTCTGTGCAGAGGATGTAAAGTTCAGATGAAGAGAAAAATCAAGTACAGGTATTTGTGTATAACAATAATGTTAGAACAGAAAAATGAGGACTATTAACAAACATGTATGTTAAGATAGCAAGGAATATATTGATTCTTGTCTCATGAAAAGTTCATAAATAAGGTCTGAATCTTAATTTCCTACACACTGAGAACCATTCATCTTTTTCATAAGAAGAAAATCAAAATTCATATTTTTGGTAGAGTAAAAAATTTTGTCATTTTACTGGTTATTTAATTTCGGTTTTCCATTTGAGATGTGAATACTTTTACTATTAAACCAGCAGGACACTATTAAACCACCAGTATACCATGCCAGTGACCATAAAACAACACTGTAATTTATCACCTATTAGTGCTTCCGCGTGCGTGCGTGTGCGTGTGTGGTTTTTTTTTTTATGGTAATTAAGATGTCACCTTCCTTTTGAAATTGTCATAGTTAAAAGTTCTCACATGTACACTGAGTGATTCAGTCTTCATTCCAGCAAGTTGATGAAGAATTTTAGATATTCTTTTCTCAGTGAAAGTTGGTCCATATATTTGTAGTTTCTTTCTACCATCTGTTATCAGCCTGACAAAGTTATTCCTTTGTTAACTATTTAGGATGACATATAGTTTAAAATGCCAGAGATAGTTTAATTAAAGAGTTTATTGCACCATGTTCTTTTTAAAGAAGTTTCTGATGTGTTGGAGGAACATAACTGCTTCAGATTCAACACCATAATTCGTTTAGAATGTCAGACCCATCGATATCAACTCTGCTCTTCCAGTTCAACTGCATGTAAGTTAAATGATTTGATAATATTTTTAATTGCATCAATGATAAATTAAAAAATAAATATGATAATGTAAGTAAATTAAAGGAAACGTTTATTATAGTAAAATATTACAAGAAGTTAAAGGAACTGCAGTTAAATTCAGAATATGGGTGCTGTGCATTCCTCTGAAGTATCAGAAGTTTCTGTCATAAAATGCAGGCTTAAACTCGGAAGGCTTAATCATTCATGAGTACTGCTGCAGAATCTGGAAATATAATCATGATGTTTGTTACAAACAGCTTTGCTGAAAGGATTCACTCACTGGCTTCATCTATAAGTTTTCCAATTGGAGTTGGAAATCATAATATGAAACTATTCAAAGTCGGATACTTTACTTCAAGCAACTGAATAATTTAATATTAGAAGCGCTGTATCTGTAGAAGTGAAAATAACTTAAACTAATTTGTAAATCTTTTAAATATTTTACAGTTAGTAACTTTTGAGCTTAAATATTGTTGACATTTATATAACTTTACAAGAAATGAGGCTAATGCATGTGGAAGTATGGAAGGAAAATCATGAAGATCTTTTATAAAGCTTTACGAGTAAATGGGCTTACATTAAGAATAGTCAAATGAGGTTTTTGTTCAAATACATTTTGAGTATTTGAGGTTTAAACGCCTTTTAAAGTAGTGATGCTGAAATTTAAAATTCAGTGGTGAATATTTCTAGTGAACTTACTCCAGAGTAAAGTTTGATAAATGCTTAAGGGACTTCAAGTCTAAATAGAACCTAGAAAAAATAAACTGGTGAAAACCTATGAATTATTACAGTATTAATACAACTTAAAATACAACACTCACAACCAGTAACATTCAAAAGTAACTGAAATTTGTAAAAGTAACAAAACAATACATGATATGTTAGCATGAATAGAGTTACTGGTTCTTATTTATCGCAGGTTTATTTATTTGTTTTGGATTCATTTAATTGTTATTATTTCAAATAAGTTTGTTTCTTTCAGTTGATATCAGTAAAAGAACAACGTCTGAAGGAAAAAAATATACATTAAAGTGCATTGAAATTATTTGTGGTGAGACAGGCACTAAATAGCAATTGCAAGAACAGGGACTCACTTGATAATAGAAGTCATTTCACCTTTCTCTAAACTCATATAGTTTCTTCCCTTTATACTCCATCATTTTAACTCTAAAATGAAAGGATATAAATTTTATGTGTATTTTGTATGGTGTTAATACTGAAGATTGTATATCTAGAGACAAGAAGAACTCTGGTGCTGTTGAAATTTATTCATGGTTGTGGGGAAGTGGTGCTATTACAGCATCTTTGGATGCTGATTGTGATATAGAACTGTGGAAGGGGAAGCTGATATTAAGTAGTATCATTGGTAATATTTGCCATCAACATTAATACAATCAGCTTGTCAGAAAAGGGGTAAAATTAAGTTTTACTGAAGAAATTATTGCTCTAAAATTTTAATGTCTTTGCTGTGGTTTAAAGTCCATTGTTAACTGTATGTTTTAGATGGAGGAACTTTATTTTCTCTAACTATGGAGAGATGTAAGTTAATTTTTTCAAGAGTATGAATTTAATTAAGTGAGAGATGTTACCAAGATGGAAATGAGGTACCGATCATTCTGAAAATGTGTCAAATGTGTGTGATTGATTGTAGAATTTATCTTTGTTTTGTGGCTTCTAGAGTGACAACATGTACTAAAACTGTCTTAGCTCAGCAGCTGAGACATAGCTAAAGATGAAATTGTACTTCTTGAGACTGTAACCCAAGTCTGGAGAAGTGGCTGCATGTCACCAACTTAATTACAAGATTAATGATATTTTCTTACATGAAATAATGGAGTTTTAGTCATAAAATTACATCTTTAAAAAAGTGCCTAAAATTAAAAAAAAAAAAAGTATAATGTATATACATTCCAGGTACTTAATGTGTTTTAAAATAATACCTATTGCAGTGTGTGATGATGTCAGTGATGTACATAAAAATGTGACTAGTGTTCTGTGTATTTATGTGTACTGAATGATCTTATGTAATATTTATTACGTAGTTTGTTGTGAAAAGTATAATTGTGTAGTGCATGTGTTTTACATTTGTATGAGTGTAAATTTCTTATAAGGGCAGTGTAATATATAGGAACAATATTTTTGAGTATGTGCTTCCAAAATTATCCCCAAAATGACAAACTTTGGAAATAATTACACATGGTGGTGTTCTGTGCTGCTGTTATCAGTGTTTTCAAATCAGTAGAAAATCACAATAATTATACTGTAAATATTTCTCTTGTAAAAGTTTTTCAAGCTCATGTTATTTATTGTGCAAGTGCAGAATGATAATGCAAGGAGGTTATACTATAATATTCAAGTAAAGTATCGGTTATATTTTACTGATACAAACAAAAATGAAATTCACCTGGTATCCTTAAGTGAAGACCTCTCTCATACCAAATTTGATTGAAATTTACTCAGTTGTTATATAAATGAAGTATGCAGATAGGTAGAAGGGTGAACACAACCTCATCTGCTTCATACACAGGACTGACATGGAAAATCAACAACTTTTATGAGAAACAAATCAAAGACCACATCCAGCAATCATTAATTTCAATTCTACTGTTTTATGATGAAATGATTCTTTACATGTATGTTTACACTTCAGGGAAATGCTCATATCAAATCTGAACTTGTCTGAAGTTGCCTTGTCTTGATGGCTCTTGTACAGACCTAGATGACCTGACTTAAACCCCTGGACAGTCCTTGTTTTATGTGTGGCAGATGTACTGGTCATGTTTCTTCATAGGTGTCTCTTTTCATAGAAAGTACCTCCTGGGCTATATAGCTTAATCATGCTGGTACAATATGTGGAATGTATACTGGGCCCCATTATTTTGATTGCTCAGAAGTATAATAATAATTATTTCTTTAGTTGTAGGCTATAATGGGGGGTATCAACTTCCAACACTATTTTTTGTGTTGAACTGTGTTTACAGAGCTGTTGCCTGGCAATGTGTTGATCAAATCAGTTTCAATATTTTCACCTTATAATGGGAACAGATGCTATTTTGGTAAGAGTACAGCAGTCATAACCGTTTCCTTTCAAATTGGCTATAAGCATCCTATTCAATCATCCACAAAACAAAATATTTTCAAAAGTTTAATATTCAATTTACAGAGTTAAACATGGCAACGTTTCAGAAGTGAATAAAGCTTCATGCCCACTACCTTGTTTTCTGTGAGACCTCGATCATTGTGGCGCATATTGACAAAAATATGGAACTTATAACATTTTGGATCGCTGTCAGTTATCTTCCCTCTGGTTTAGATGATATTTGATGACCCTCTTGAGATGCATTCATTTTAATTATTGACTCTACATTTATATTGAAGGGATTCTCATGTCATGGGTCCCAACCGCCATGGGAATTATTGGCTGGTTCATTATACACTTGCTTAGCCACATTTGTATTCAGGGATAAACAATCTTACATCACCATCATCATCTACTTAAAGGCAGGCTTGTATTAAGCTCTTCCATCTCAGAGACTCTTCTCCCTTCGTCTTCTCGGTCGTTCACAATTCGTTGGTAATTATTAACTTTTGGTGAACAATTTTACATACAGAGGGCAATTCAAACAAATTAAGATTTCTGCCATCTGGGATGTGATGTTGTTTATTCTGGTAGATAGGTGTCTATTTTTGAATAGACTTAATGCCACATCTCCAGTGTTAGAATGTAACCTGGTCCCCAAATCTAGAGGTAGCATCATATCTCATTATCCATAGCATTGGTAATACATGTGCTTATGGGTGGTAGGATACTCTTTGTTAATGTAAAGGTAATGATATCAATTTGAAAAATATTAATATAATCAAATTGGACCGTGGCCATTCCACATTTTCCGATATGCTCTTTTTCCATGATCCCACATACCCTATAGCCTAATTACTGCAATGCTCTATTTCTCTGGTGGTCATACAGCTGTACAGCTAGTGAACATAAACTCCTGTCTAGCCTTAGCAGGGAGCGGTATAATTCTGTCCTTCCACTGGCTACATTTCTTTATGGTGCACAGGTCTGTGTATGCGGATCCCTGACCAAGATACCTTACCAACTTCTAAAGGACGAAGGGTTTCATGCTTAATTCTGAATTTGAACAGGTCAGAAGCTCTGATCCATAAAAATTTAAGATTTTCCATTTCATACAAGATATCTGAGAGAACTAAGACGTTCTTAAATCCACATATTTTGCCCCCACATGATCAATTTATGCTCAAAATAAAGTAAGTAAAAAAAAGGTAAAGCTATCCCTGTAATAGGCTGTGAAGGCCCATAGGGTTGTGAGATGTTGAGGCTCCAATATTTTCTAGAGTCGGCTCATAGGTGGCTGTGAGGTTGTCAGCCCTACGCGCCAGCCGGCCTTTACCCCCAGGAATATTCCTGGTACTCATTTCTGTCAGAGGCTGAGTTGACCCCAGGGCCATAGTGCGGCTGGAAAGATTAGGTAGATTAAAATGATCCACCTCATCTGGATTCGATTCTGCGACCTTCCGGCTTGTAACATAGAGCCTCAACCAGGTACGCTACCGCATGCCCCCACATACTCAAAATGCGTAACTTAAACCTCAATGTCCAGGAATAGAGGAGACTGAATCTCCCAGTACTACGACAGGGTGCCTTTTGGATTTTAGGTCTTTGATAATTTTATTGCTATTAAAGTGCAGTGCTTGGCTTGCTAGATCATACACCAGATATTATAAGGGCGATGTATTCAAGGAAGTAAGAGGAGGGGTAATCGATATAAGCTTGTTTAGACATCCTTGTATATTTTTTCCCCCTCCGCGCTACAGCCCCAATTAGCGCGTTGGCCTACCTCCATGAAATTTCTCCGTTTCACTTCGGTTTACTAGATCTTAGATATTCAGTGGGACTCCTTGGGCGGGTGATCAGCCCGTTGCAAGGCCGTTACCTGTACACAAACACTGAAAATCGCGCACACAAACACAACCATGCCCTGAGAGGGATTCGAACCCACGATCCCGGTTTCCAAGCGAGCGAAGACAGTACATGCCTTTGACCGCTCGGCTACCGTGGCCGGCCTAAGAAACTTTACCCAGTGTTTAATGGCGCGAGGTTGAGACATTATACAAGCCGGAAGGTAAAGATATTGACGAGGTTGTTAAAAGTTGCGAATATAAATAAGTGCAAAAATACAGAACTATAGAAGTAAATAAATAAGAAACACTCTTGATTTCCGCATCATGCAGTTTGAGAGTGAACAGGACGCGTGAAGATGAATTTCTGCAGTGTATTCTTAATCTCGACTTTTGATGCGAGTGAGTGGTCAGGTCAATGCCCCAGTCACAGTACATCGGGTAAAAGTTCGAATGGAGGGAACACAAATGGTTGTCAGTTTTATTGGGACCACTACGATGTTGGTCTTAATACAACATGCGAACATATAACGGAGAGGAAGAATTCTGTCTTCTGGAATATAACGTCGTGTATTCCGGCGAGATTCGACTGATATTTCGGAGGAAAATATCGTCTCCATCTTCAGAGTTGAAGAGTAAGAGAAACAAGAGACTAACATGAAGCAGACAAGTAGATCTCTCCTTGACTTTCATCAGACTACACGGAGTTATATCCCAGAAGGTACAATTCTTCATAGCCACTGCTATGATAAGTTCAGATCCAGCAAAGTAATTAATTTATTTACTCTTCATGGCGGGGGCTGTCGCAATGAAATACTGTGTCTTAAATTTTTCAGATAGTGTTCTCCAAAACTTGTCATTCGATGCCTCTGTGCAATGGTCAGAAATTGTATAAAGAACAATTATTTATATTCCATTATGGGTTAAAGGTTTATTTTTTGTATATCAATGCATGAAGAGCAAACACGAATCTTTTGTCTTGTAATCCTATTTTTTTTTCTGCGTAATTTAGAGGTGTCCAACTATAAGATTAATTATAATGACTAACTTGAGAATTATCCCACCGCGACGGCCCTGGTTCGATCCCGGGTTTGGTAAAGTGGGATTTGTGGTGAACAAAATGGCGCTGGGGCGGGTTTTCTTCGAGTACTTCGGCTTTTCCTGCCAATCTTTATTCCATCAAATTCTCCATCATAATCACCCGGGGCAAGCTACAATAGGTCAATCAGTGGCCGCCGTGCCGAGTGGACCCAAACTTCAGAATTACGTAACGACAGGAAATTCCCTATCAATCAGATAACAGCAAGCAGTGAAAGAAAATGTCCCCCATGGAATTAGATGAGTTACTTTTTCTCTCTCTTAAGACGATGACTACAGTTTGTTTACCCCTGCTTGATGGCATTGTATCTACCATCCTCTACTTATTTAATATTGATCTGCAGGCCCTAATTCCAGGCTCACATATCAGTAGGAGCCCAGGAAATCCTAGGGGATGCTTTATGTTTTTGTGTCCTCCCCTTCTTTTGTTTATTAAATGACAGTCGTGATGGAGTGTTTGTTATGAATTAGAAAGGTAATGGCTCTTTCCTACGCTTTTGAAAATGGATTTTAGTAACACCTTTTTTACAATACCATGCACAAAAATCAAGATCCGTTGAGACTCAAGTAATTCCTCCAATTATACGTGTATTTTGTGTTGCATGCAAGTCTTCAGTAAGGAACGTTTCAGTTCAAATCTCGGCTGGATCACCGACTATCGTAACTGATGTTTTTATGGGTTTCCTCAGTCCCTCCAGGCGAATTCTCTTGTATTAACTTGGTTAGATCACTACCGCTTCCTTCCAAATCCTTTCCAATTTATCATTCATCAATCATCCTACCATTCCACGCTATATTTTAGCTACTGACATCGTCGTAAAAAGGCCCCCATCAAATACCGAATTCTTTAAAAGTTAAGAAATTGGCTTGGGAACTGAAAAACGCTACAAAAACATGGACAAACAAACCGCATGACAGACGGACGTCACGTTGTGTCACTGAGATATTCATGTGATATGTCGTCTGCTGTGAACAGTGCAATGCAGAGTGGCTGCTTAGACCAAGGCTTACGAACACGAGATCGAATTCCAGCTATGGCTTCAAGGTATGTTCGCGTTTCTTTGTGTTATGTTGACCTGCGTATGTACAGGTTTGGCGATGGACACGTCACGTATCA